CAACAATGGGTTTCTTTCTTTCTTTCTTTCTTTCTTTCTTTCTTTCTTTCTTTCTTTCTTTCTTTCTTTCTCTCTCTCTTTCTTCCTTCCTTCCTTCCTTCCTTCCTTCCTTCCTTCCTTTCTTTCCTTTCTTTCTTTCTTTCTTTCTTTCTCTCTCTCTCTCTCTCTCTTTCTTTCTTTCTTTCTTTCTTTCTTTCTTTCTTTCTTTCTTTCTGTGGGGGAAGATAAGAATCTCCCAGATTCTCTTCCACAGGCTGACTTTGACCTGCAATCCTCAGATCTCAGCTTCCTAGTAGCTAGGACTACAGGAGTGAGCCACTGGCACTTGGCTTATTATTTTATTTTAGAAGAGGAAAATAAGTTGATTTTTAAAACAGATTAATATTTAATAGGGTGCTAAATCAGTTTAAAAAATCAAAAATTCTACAAATATCATAAAAGAAAAAGCTATGTTAAGTCCTTAGTGCTATTAATCAAAAAACGCTATAAAGAGGTCAGTATAATAAACTGTCAGAAAAAAAAATAGCCCTGGCTCCAGTTTCCTGTGACTTAAACATGCTCTGAATGTTCATAAGGTTTCGAAATGTTAGTAACCTGAACATCTTGAAACTTGGAGAAAGGAATCAAGCTATCCATCAGGACCAAATGTCAGAAATGTAAAAACCTTTGGGGGCATTAAAAAGTCCCTAAAATTCAGAATTCTATGTACTACTCACCCTGTTTTTTAAAAGAAGATTTATTTCATATAAACTACTCCAAAGAGTTTTTGTCAATTTCCACAACACTAATAAAATGTGATCTAAATCCTGACTAAGATAATAAATTGTATTATACAATACAGATGAAGAGAACAAAACAAGAGCTTGAGAAATCAGGTTTTCTGCAACCCTGGGGGAGAACATTTGTTCTCACATGTTTACAAAGACACAAGTCATTCTGGGGTTGGGGATAGAGGTCAATGCTGGAATGCTTGCCTAGATATTTGATCTACAACACTACCAAAATAAATAAATAAAATACAAATTACTGATCTTACTTTTGACATTGAAACCACCTGAGCAAAAATTAAAATAAATTTCAGATTTTAAGGATGTGGCTCAATATTTTCCTTAAGGATTATTACATTTCCAGAAGATTCTAATATGCCAGCAGTATTCACTAGCTGTCCAAACAGGCTCATCAACAAAAACATGGCTTTAAAAAAAGAAACAAAGAAAGAAAGAAATGTTCCAGAAAGAAAAATTAACAAGAGGCTAAGAAACTATTACATTTTGTTTCTTATTTATAAGTCTCCACCAGAAAACTGGTAGTAGCACTGTGGCTCAAAGTGATAGAGTACTAGCTTTGAGTGACAGAGCTCAGGGAGAATTCCTAAACCCTGAGTTCAAGCCCCACAACCGACAATAATAATAATAATAACAATAATAATAATTCAAGTCTGAGAAACCCAATCTGCAATTCAAATACTCAGAAATATTTCTGAGTATCAATGTCTGCTGTGTGTTGGGCACTATTTCTCGTGTTTAAAGTAACAGTTAAGAGTAGACAAAGAACCATTCTATAGAGTACAAAGAACACACAAGCAATAAACATTCAGCTATAATATACAACAGTAAAAACTGTTATGGATAAACCTAAAGCATAGAAAGAGAGATTGGTAAGGGATGAGTATGAACTAATATGTACATGGTTAGGCAAGTCCTCCCTATCAGGAAAGGAAAACCATACAGCTGTTCAGAGGCAAAATATTCTTCAGTAAGGCAAAAATGCCTGCTAGTATGTCTGCAGAACTGCAAGGAGGCACAAGGTTAGCTAATTGGAAAAGTATAATGAACTACAGAATAATAACTGTATTTTAGGAAATGTAGTTCCATATGAAACCACAAAGTATAGTACAAAGCCAAAAATTTCATAATTTTCTACTCAGATGAAGGAATTAGGCTAGGAAATTTCTAACATCTGCTAAAGGAAGTATTTTCTAAAGATCTTTGAAAAAATGCAAACCTTTTGTGCTATGTAAGTATATAGCATATTAAACATTTATCTCTAAGCAGAAAAACACGGTAAGGTGTACAGCTACTAACTACCTGTTCTTTCAAAGGGCTCTATTCAAAACAAACAAAAGGGCTAGAGACATAACTTAAAACAAAAGAGTTCCTGCCTAGCAAGTGCAAAGTTCTGAGTCCAAACCCATCCATAGATAAATAGGTAGATAGATAGAAAGATAGATAGATAGATAGATAGATAGATAGATAGATAGATAGATAGATAGATAGATAGATAGATAGATAGATAGATAGATAGATAGATAGATTGGAGGGGGTAAGGGGAGGGGAGGGGAGGGAGAGGAAGACAGGAGAGGAAGAGAGAAAGAGGGGAAGAGAGGGAGGGAGGGAGGGAGGAAGGGAGGGAGGGAGGGAGGGAGGGAGAGGAGGAGGAGGAAGGGAGGGAGGTAAAATGAGGAAGGGAAACAGGCAGGGGGATGGGAAGGGAAAGAGAAAAGGAAAAAGAAAAGAAAAATAGAAAGGAATAAAGGAAACTAGTCTCGGAAGAAAATTATTTTGGAAAAACTGAAAAGTATTGGCTTACAATTACTATTTTAAAAGAAACAAACAATTTCTAAAAAGTATATTTTCACATTTTTCACAAGTTAGGTAAAAAAAACAATTTGAAGTATTAAGCACATAACTATACGTAAATGTCCATTCAATCAAGTACTTCTGGATGTTTTAAATGTCTCTATTATCCTTGGGTAGAGAAAATATTAATTCAAATTTATTACTTTTAAATACTACAGGGAGGGGCTGGGAAGGTGGTTCAGTGGTAGAGTGCTTGCCTTGCATGCATGAGGCCCTGGGTTTGATTCCTCAACACCACATGAGCAGAAAAAGCCAGAAGTGGTGCTGTAGCTCAAGTGGTAGAGCACTAGCCTTGAGCTGAAGAGCTGAGGGACAGTGCGTAGGCCCAGAGTTCAAGCCCCATGACCAAAAAAAGAAAGAGAGAGAAATTTACAAGATCAGCAGTGGGCTGGGAAGGTAGCTCAGTGGTAGAGCACTTGCCTTGCATGCATGAGGCCCTGGGTTCGATTCCTCAGCACCACATAAGCAAAAGAAAAAAGCCGGAAGTGGTGCTGTGGCTCAAGTGGTAGAACACTAGCCTTGAGCTGAAGAGCTGAGGGACAGCGCCCAGGCCCAGGGTTCAGGCCCCACGACTGGACCCAAAAAAAAAAAAAAGATCAGCAATATCCAAAGTAAAGTTTATAGAACTTAATTTTAATGCAAATTATTAATTTTTAAAAACATTTAAATATATACAACTTTATGTATGTCATATTTTCTCCTGTGACTTTTTGCTTGGTTTTATCATCTAAAGGGGGAAGTGGTGCTGTAGCTCAAGTGGTAGAGCGCTGCCTTGAGCTAAAGAGCTGAGGGACAGCGCCCAGGCCCAGAGTTCAAGCCCCATGACCGACCAAAAAAAAAAAAAAAAAGTAAGAATATCATCTAAAGGGCTACTACGTATCCCTTATGTTGTAAAGATCTAAGATTTTAATTTCCCAAAATCAAATTTAAAAACTATAAAACCTCAATCTAATTTTATTTCAGATTAAGGAATTTTCTTCTGTTTGAACAAGCCATGACTAAAATTGAAAAACTAAGCTGGGTATGGAAGCCTACACCTATAAGCTCAGCACTCAGAGGAGGAATTAGCACTGGCTACACGGCCATGTGTAGGTGACCAACTTGAACAATACATCTAGACTCTACCTCAAAAAATAAAAGAAAAGCTTAACAATACTAACTGTTGTGGCTATAGAAGTAAAATCCCAAGAGAAAATGAGGGAAGGGAAAACAGTGTTTAAAGAGAAATGTACTAATTACCTTACTTATATAACTATAACACCACCACCTCACCCCCCCTACCCCCCACCCCCCCGTTCATCACTTTTACAATAAGGATATTTTAAAATTTTTTAATAAAAGTACAACCCAGAGAATCAAAAAAAAAAAAAAAAGAAGTAGTAAAACCCTCCCACAAGCTGGCAGATGAAAGTAACACTTGCTATATCCTTAGGAAGTACAGTTTGTACACCACAAACCCGTTCAACAGTGCCTTCACTTTCCCTGATAACAGCACTCACAACTGAGAGCAATACTGAGTCATTCCAGGTTTTCTTACTGGTGCTTTCATTACTAGTCTTCCAAACATACCCTAATGGTTGACCGTCTCACAAACTAAATCTTACTTTACACAAAAGAGTATTGAACACAACAACATAGGATTTAGTCCTAAAATATTTACCAAACTGACAATCACTACAGTAAAAGAAACTTCATAAAACGAGGCATAGGCTATCCCAAAGTATTTTACTACTTAATCGTCATCTCTGTATGACAAATGTGATATAAAACATATACAATAGGAAGTGGCACTGTGGCTCAAGTGGCAGAGCACTGGTCTTGAGCTGAAGAGCTGAAGGACAGTGCCCAGGCCCAGAGTTCAAGTCCCATGACCGACAAAAATAAAATAATTTTTTTAAATGTATATATATATATATATATTTACACACAACAAGAATAAAGAGTCTATTGTAATTGAAAACTGTAAGCAATTAAATCAGTCCCTGTCTCAAATTATAGAAAGGGTAAAATAATCTCAGCAAATGAAGTAATTTGCAGTGGGGAGAGCTGAAGGAGGGAAGGAGTTGGGGAGGTGGGGAGGGAAGGGATGGTAGAGGAAAAACAAAGGAGGAGGTAACAATGCTCAATAGGAAATGTACTCATTACCTTACTCATATAACTGTAACTCCTCTGTACAGTATCTTTACAATAAAAAATATATACAAAAAATGAAGTAATTTTAGAAAATAGTATTTACTATTGCAATTGAGCTGTACTACCTTAAAAAGTCATCGGTTTTACATTTTCCTCAATTTTATTATTTGATATTATAAATCAATGAAGTTAATAGAAAAGATAAATAAGAGGAAAAGAAAAACTTACTGGGACTGAAAACTCCTCTGCCAAGTGTTTCAGCAAAGATGCTTCTTTAGCCAACAATTTGTTCCTTTCTCTTATATTGCCTTGAAGTTGTGTGTCAAACTCTTTTCTGACCACAGAAGCAATGGAGTCTATAATCACAAGTTTAACACCTTTTGAAATAATTTCTTCTTCCAAAGATTGAATCCTATAAAAGCAGAATTCATAAAATAATAGACAAACTTAAAATCTAAGTTAAAAATAGCATGTTAAAAGTTCACTATTGCCAGGTGTCAGTGGCTCATGCCTGTAATCCTAACTACTACTCAGGAGTCAGAGATCTGAGAATTGTGGCTCAAAGCCAGCCATGGCAGGAAAGTTCATGAGACTCTTATCTCGAATAAACTACTCAGAAAAAGCTGGAAGTGGTGCTGTGGCTCAAGTGGTATACCACTAGCCTTGAGCAAAAAATGCTTAGGGAGAGTGCCTAGTCCCTGAGTTCAAGCCTCAGGAGAAGCAAAAAAAAACCACTTTTTTAAAAAGTTAACTTTAAAACAACAGCAAATTGGTCCTCTCTACGTTACTTCCTAAGTTACTTCTCTAATATATTTCCCATAATTCTCACGCATGAGATTTTTTTTCCTTTACTCAGAAGCTGGAAAAATGAAAAACAAAAGATTTTTTTTAAAAAAAGATTATTTTGAAAGCATTGCTAAATTAATACAATGAAAAATAAACCAGCATACCGTTGCAGAACTTCATCACAAGTGAGTTCCCGATAAAGATGAACTTTACTACTTGTCAAAATTAACTTTTCTTCAGTGTCAAAATATCCGGGAAAGCGGGATTCCGCTATCTCAATCAGCCTACGTAAGAAAAACAGTACAGGAGAAAAGAATCAATGATTGCTGAACTTCTAGTGGATTTTACTTGGGAAACTCCTAAGCTGGCTTATCAACAGAGCAGGTTTAAGAAATGGCTGAAAATGTAAGCCATGAATGTGATCTGTCCTTTTCCAAAGGGTAGCTGTTAGAGCATGAGACCAACAAGGGCTTTTAGTTCTCATCTTATCTTGAATAAGCAATATTGTGTCAAAGGTTTATATTCTTGGGAATAAATGTTTAATGAATAATATTTTGCCTCACAGCTATAAGATATATTAGTGAATAAGAAAATGCTTTCAGGGAGCTGGGAAGATGGCTTAGTGGTAGAGTGCTTGTCTTGCATGCATTAGGCCCTGGGTTCAATTCCCCAGTACCACATAAGCAGAAAAAGCCGGAAGTGGCACTGTGGCTCAAGTGGTAGAGCACTAGCCTTGAGCTGAAGTGCTGAGGGACAGTGCCCAGGCCCAGACCACACGAACAGCAAAAAAAAAAGAAAAAAGAAAAGAAAATGCTTTCATTTTCCAAAATGCACAAAATATATCTGAACAAATAGGGTATATAATCATTTTAATAATCAGATATCAATAAGTCATCATGTCTCATTGCTTTAAAAAATATGCTTTCTCAATTAAAATTTAACTCCTATCAAAAAATTATCTTCTACTTAAAGAACTATTGTTATCTTGACAAATGAATGCTCCCAGTTGTTTTAGAGTAAAGGAAAATGATTTTTCTAAATATGAAATCATGACCTCAAGGCTAGATCTAATAATACATGAATGTACAAGAATTACAAGTTGAAACAGAGGCAACTATCACCAGCAATAGCTTAAGAAGACATGGGAAGCATTACCAGAAAATGACAAGTGTTTAAGGTTCAAAATGTTAAAAATACAATTCTTGGAGTATAACTGTCTCCCAGTTAAAATGACACTTTATCAGCCCTAGTACTTAGCCTTCCAAGGGTCTAGCAGGAGAGACTGTAAACACAAAAACCATCCTATATTTTATGTTCCATTTGGAGATACACAGTACAAAAGAAGAGTTTTCAACTCTAAACAGTTGAAGAGTTCTAAGAAGAGACTGATCAAACAGATAAACAAAATAAGTTTTTTTCATATGGTGTAATCCAAAATGACAGGGAAACACCTAAAACAGCAAAAGAGAACAGAGAAATAAAAAGAAACTAGCCAACAACTTTTTTTTTTGGGGGGGGGGCGGGGGGGTCCAGTCGTGGGGCCTGAACTCTGGGCCTGGGCACTGTCCCTCAGCTCTTCAGCTCAAGGCTAGCGCTCTACCACTTGAGCCACAGTGCCACTTCCGGCTTTTTTCTTTTTTGTTTATATGGTGCTAAGGAATCGAACCCAGGGCCTCAGGCATGCAAGGCAAGCGCTCTACCACTGAGTCACCTTCCCAGCCCGCCAACAACTTTTGTAAAGTATATTTTAAACAACCTGAAAAGAAAATAAACCATTAGGTAGAACAGAAAAAGAAAAAACATGCTTCAGGAGTAAGAATTGGGTCCAAATAAGTGGAAAGAGAGAGAGAAACCAAAACTGACATAATCATTTAGAAGTGCTGTAAGGGGACAGGGATTAAAACAAAAAGAAATAAGATGAGGAAAGCAGGAAGAAGTAATAGGCATACAAATAGCAGAACTGGCAAATTCTAAAAGCCTGGACAATATATATATAATTTTTTAGTAAGGTAATTATTTTTTAAGTTTACTGCTCATCAGTTAAAAAAAAAAAAAAACTATAGTGCTTCCTACCAAATTTTAAAAGAATAGGTATAGCAACATCTACCAGAAACATGAAAGCTTTTCAAAACTTAGATTCCCAGTTGGTCAGGAACCAAATGGAGAATATGTAGCTCATTGGATCTCACTCACTTCCTTGGATTGTAAAAAGTTCTGGAACATAATACAGCTATCTCATGGTGATCAATGCATAGTAATCAGTAGAAATGGTGATCAGTACATAAACTATCTTTATTCAGTTACCATGTTCAGTTACCTGTAGTAAATGGCTGTTTACACATCAATATGCCACAGTTGTCTATATGCTTCTTTAAATGTTTTTATTTTAGAACCATCTGAAGAATATAAATCAGAACTAAAGATAAATGTATCCTATGCATAAGGATTCCGTATGTCTAGGGAAAGCAACAAAAGTTATCTTTGACTCCCATTTCAAAACAATGCCACCTAGTGGACACCTTCTTATAAAACAGGTTCCTTTGAAAGGATACACAAGATTTATGTATTCAACATTTATACTAGGCATTGTTTTAAGAGCTGAGGATATAGTAATATAACAGAGAGAGAGAGGGAAAAAGAGGGTAGAAAAGTAAAAATAAAAAGCAAAAGGGAAAGAAAAGGAAAGGAAAGGGAAGAAAAGAGAAGAGAAACAAGGAAAGAGAAAAAGTTCTTTCATCACGGAGTTTACAGACTATAGAAAAAGACATAAAGCATAGAAGCAAGCACTATTTTGTGGAGTTTTGTCCTATGGTGACATTTAAGGAGAAGATTAAAGGAGATGAGAAGATAAACCAGGTGGGTATCCAGTGTGACAGTGAGTGAGAACAGAGCCCTTCTGCAGTGCAACTTACTGAATAATTTAAGGCCCTGGGAAATAAACATCAACCATAAAAGAAAACTAAAGGATTGACTATAACAACAAAACCATAGACATAAATGATACCATCACCAAAGTTAAAGTATAAATGAAAATCACAGACATTAGTATTGATAAAATGCAAAGTATTTACATAAATCCATAAGACAAAAAAATATGTAAAGTATATTTGTAATGTACCAAAGAAATATAGTCAATTCATACATGAAAAGATTTTGGACTACTGGGCTGGGAAGGTGGCTCAGTGGTAGAGCGCTTGCCTTGCATGCTTGAGGCCCTGGGTTCGATTCCTCAGCACCACATAAGCATAAAAAAAAAAGCCGGACGTGGTGCTGTGGCTCAAGTGGTAGGGTGCTAGCCTTGAGCTGAAGAGCTGAGGCACAGCGCCCAGGCCCAGAGTTCAGGCTCCATGACCGGACCCCCAAAAAAAAAAAAAAGACTAAGGAAAAGATTTGGACTACTACAGTTCAAACAATGAGATACCATTTTTCCTATAAGTATGACAAAAATTAAAGAAAGAAACAAGAAAAGCATAGGATTAAAAAACTCTCAAAACAGTGTAGGTTGGAATACAACTATTAGACTATTTCTAGACAAATGCGGTAGTTCATATCAAAATTTTAAATAAATAGCTCCTTAATAGGTTTCCATTCAATTATAGATATAAATATAAAAGGAAAACATAAATATTGTTTTAAAAAACTGTAGGGCATTATCTTTGATGCCTAATGATGATGAAACTTCTAAATTAAAATCCAAAAACTAAAACCATATAGCAACAACTTAAAACTCTATTCAACAAAAAACATCACAAGATGATAGATGACTAAAAATAAAAAGATATTTACAGTGCATTAAGCTGGCAATATCTATAAGTTGTACAAAAACTCCTGTAAATAGAAAGGAAACTACTGGATGCCTGGTAGGAAGTGGGGTAAAGATAGATTCATAGAATAATGCTCAATAGCTAACAGATGTTCGTTGAATGGTTGAAGGTATTACTTGCAACCTTTCTAGAATCAATCATTTTTTCCAACCACAGTTGAGTAGAAATAGAAATATATGCTCACCTTTCAGCAAACTTACTAGCCATATGATCTTGGGTATGTTATATCACTTCTGAGTCCCATCCTTATTCTTAAAATGGCACTCCTAATTTTCAACCTGTTTATCTACACAGGACTACTGTATGGACAAAGTGAGATGCCAGTTCATCATGCTAAAACATGGTCATCTACAAAAAACGTCACCTGGACGTTTTTATCAGTATCAGTATCAGCATCTCTCATATCACACCCCATTCAGCATCCCAAAACCCCACTCATTTATCATTAGCAAAATCACTTCTTCCTGAACCGCTATACAAATTTCCAAGGTGCCTACTAGGTAGAAAATTCACCTGTCTTCCTCCTCAGACTGTGTTATGACGGAGATAATATCATTTTAAAGGATTATGCTGTAAGGAAAAAAAAAATTAGCCAGGTGCAGGTGGCTCACACCTGTAATCCTAGCTACTCAGGAGGCTAAGAATTGAGGGTCACAGTTCAAAGCCAGCCCAGGCAGGAAAGTCTATGAGACTCTTATTTCCAATTAACCACCAGAAAACTGGATGTAGCACTGTGGCTCAAAGTGATACAGTGTTAGCCTTGAGCAGAAAAAGCTCAGGGACAGTGCTCAAGCCTTGGGTTCAAGCCCCACAACCGAACAAAAAGAAAAAACAAAAAAATAAAAAACCTACCTTCACTGCCCTGACTCATAAAATCCCCCCAAAAAAATTTCTGAAAACACATTAAAAAATATATTTTTTAGGGGCTGGGAAGGTGGCTCAGTGGTAGAGCGCTTGCCTTGCATGCATGAGGGTTCGATTCCTCAGTACCACATAAGCAAAAAGAAAAAAGCCGGAAGTGGCGCTGTGGCTCAAGTGGTAGAGCACTAGCCTTGAGCTGAAGAGCTGAGGGACAGCGCCTAAGCCCAGAGTTCAGGCCCCACAACCGGACCCAAAATATATATATATTTTTAAATTTCTCCTTGAATAAGTCCCGATCAGTTGCTGGCTGTAAGAGAACATACTACTAACTTCACAAAATCTTCTTCCCTACAATCTAACTTAACTTACTGTATTCAAAAACCTTACATCTTTCTCAGGGTCCCCTGTCTAGAGCCACTTATTCCTCAGACAAAGAATGCCAGCTATTCCTTAACCCATCTCTTCCTTCAACAGATGCTTTTATTCTTAACCTCCACTTCCATCTTTTTCTAATTATCTTCAACAGGGAAAATACATTATTTGTTCAATTTTTTTTTAAATATTTATTTATTTATTTTTCTTTTTGCTTATGTGGTGCTGAGGAATCGAACCCAGGGCCTCATGCATGCAAGGCAAGCGATCTACCACTGAGCCACCTTCCCAGCCCCTATTTGTTCAATTTTTATATACTAAAATTCTTGTAGTTGCCAAAATATTCATCAGTTTAAAATATGGGGATGGCTCACTGGATTAATCTATTTATCCATATTTTCAAAATATTTGTAAGCATTTGGTATCTAAGACTATATCAATTTTTAAGTGTTCTAATAGGTAAAACAAAAAGACATTTTCTAAATCTAAAGAAAGGAATCAAGAACTCTGCCTGCTTAGCTTAGCATTTCCCTCTCCCAAGGAAGCCTCAGTATCCAAGGGGTTAAGCCCAGATTACATATTTATTTATTTTAGTCGGTTGTAGGGCTTGAACTCAGGGTCTGGGCACTCTTTGTACTCAAGGCTAGCACTCTACCACTTGAGCCACAGAGCCACTTCCGGTTCTAATTGGACATAAGAGGCTCACTTTTCTGTCCAGGCTGGCTTCAAATCCCAATCCTCAGATCTCAGCCCCCCTGAGTAGCTAGGATTACAGGTGTGAGTCACCAGCACCTGACTCATTATTTAATTTTTAAACAGTCTGGAGGTATAATTCATATACACATTAACATCCCATCTTGTATTATTTTCTAAAAGATGTGTAAAATAAACTAGCTAATGCATTGTTGGGATTTGGTATTTTGTTCTATTTCCTGTGCCCATAGTGGGGCTTGTTCAGGGCCGAGGCACTGTCCATTAAGCTTTTTTCCACTCAAAGCTGGTACTTTACCACTTGAGCCACAGCTCTCCTTACAGCTTTTCTGTAGTTAATTAGAGATAAGAATCTCATGGGCAAGCTGGGCTCCTGTGGTTCACATCTGCAATCCTAGATACTTGGGAGGCTGAGATCTGAGGATCGTGTTTCTTTTTGTGTGTGTGTGTGTCGGTCGTGGGGCTTGAACTCTGGGCCTGAGCGCTGTCCTTGCACTCTTCAACTCATGGCAAGCTCTCTACCACTTAAGCCACAGCACCACTTCCAGTTTTCTGGTGGTTAATTGGAGATAAGAGTCTCACGGACTTTTCTGCCCAGGCTGGCTTTGAACCATGATCCTCAGATCTCAGCCTCCTCAGTAGCTAGGCTTACAGACATGAGCCACCAGGACATGACTATTGGACTTGATTTGTTTTGTTTTTTAAATAGGGACTCACTATGTAGCCCAAGCTGTCCTCAAAATCAAAGTCCTCCAGGCTCAGCCTTTCTAGTGCTAGGATTATAGGCATGCACCACCACTTCAAGCTATTTCATGCATTTTACCTTTTTTTTGGTAGTGGTACTGAGGTTCAAACTCAAGGCCTCATGCTTCCTAGGTTGGTATTCTATCACTTGAGCCATGCCTCCAGCCCCTCTTTAACGTAGTTTAAACAAATAGTTTTAATTTATTCCTCGTTTCTTCCCGACCCCCATCTCCCATTTTGGTTTTTGGTACTGGAAATTGAACCCATTTGCTCTTTCTTTTGTTGTTGTTGTTGTTGGTGGTGGTGGTGGTGGTTGTAGGACTTGAACTCTGGACCTGAGTGCTGTCCCTGAGCTCTTCAGCTCAAGGCTAGTGCTCTACCACTTGAGCCAGAGCACCACCTCCAGTTTTCTGGTGGTTAATTGGAGATTCATGGTCTTTCCTGCTCAGGCTGGCTTCAAACCATTATCCTTTAATCTCAGCCTCCTGAGTAGCTAGGATTATAGGCATGAGCCCCTGGTGTCCAGCTCATTTGCTCTTAATTTCCTTCTTTCTTTCTCTTCCTTTCTTTCTCTCTCTCTCTTTCTTTCTTTCTTTCTCTCTCTCTCTCTCTCTTTCTTTCTCTCTCTCTTTCTTTCTTTCTCTCTCTCTTTCTTCCTTTTTCTTTTTGTCTGTTGTGGGCCTGAACTCTGGGCCTAGGCGCTGTCCCTCAGCTCTTCAGCTCAAGGCTAGCACTTTACCACGTGAGCCACAGCACCACTTTCAGCTTTTTCTGCTTTTGTGGTGCTGAGGAATCGAACCCAGGGCCTCATGCATGCAAGACAAGCACTCTACCAATGAGCCACCTTCCCAGCCCCCATTTGCTCTTTCTTGATACAAAGATATCTAGCTATACTCTACTTGGATCACTTATACCTAGATTCACTCTTCTTTTTTTTTTTTTTTTGGGGGGGGGGTTCCGGTCGTGGGGCCTGAACTCTGGGTCTGGGCGCTGTCCCTCAGCTCTTCAGCTCAAGGCTAGCACTCTACCACTTGAGCCACAGTACCACTTCCAGCCTTTTTCTTTTTTCTTATGTGGTGCTGAGGAACCGAACCCAGGGCCTCATGCATGCAAGACAAGTGCTCTACCACTGAGCCACCTTTCCAGCCCCAGATTCACTCTTCTTGAGTATTTTAGTTTTCCCTCATATTAACCCTTCACTTTCTCATTTGAACAGCTTGCTTTAAGCACAAAATGGAGACAGTACTAAAACACAAGCTAAAATATATTCCTCTTTGAGTCTCATATTTCTCTGATCTACTTCTTCCCAAAGTCCTGGAATGCTCTACACTGTGATTCAAACTGTGATTTACCAACCCAACATCCATTTCCACTTCACCCTTTCTATGACAGTCTTCAATTTTATATAGCCAACAATTAACAGGCCCCAGGCACCTCATCATAATTATTATGATGATTTTTGCCCCTCATTTTTCCTTTCTTCTTCACATATTGAGGTGACTCAGCAAGAAATCTACAGGAAGATTGCTGGTGATGAAAATGACATCTTCAGAGAGGAAGAAGTATGTGGGGTAGGAGAAGTACATTTTCCCCATAAAAATATATATATCTGAGCCAGGCACTGGTGGCTGGCTTTTGCCTGTAATTCTAGCTGTTCAGGAGGCTGAGACTGAGGATCGTGATTGAAGCCAGCCAAGGCAGGAAAGTCCATGAGACCACAGGGCTTAAACTTGGGGCCTGCACATTGTACCTAAGCTCTTTTTCTCAAGGCTAGTGTTCTACCACTTTGAGCCACTTCCTAATTTCTGGTGGCTAATTGGAGATAAGTCTCACAGACTTTCCTGCCCCAGTTGGCTTTGAACCCTAATCCTCAGATGTCAGCCTCCTGAGTAGCGAAATTTTTTTTAGTTTTTTTCTCTCCCAATTATTTATCAAAATCCAAACAAGTATTTCACCCAGCAACTGACTGATAAGACTTTTAAATCTGTCTTACTTCTACGGTTCCTCCTCCTTTTTTCATCTTGATCTTATCATTTCTCCATTAAAGACACCAGGTTTTTTGTTCTGACATTTCCCACAGTTTGTACTTTGTTGATTGTATCTCTCCAGAGCAGTTTGTTTCTCACTCCTCTATTATGTAAACTGGTAGCTGGTCTGAAGGCTTGATCTTACTCCTATTTAGTTTTTCTTCTAGCAGGAGGGAGCTCAATGACATTCAATGTTTTTGCATAATTCTAGCATCCTTTGATGTTCAATGCCTAGGTCTATTAGATTGTTTGGACTTGTAGTTTGGGGATATTCTGCCATCCCTTTTCACTTATTACTGGAATCCTTCCATAAAAAAGAGCTATTTGTTTTTCAGTAATACAGTTCATATAGAAGAGGATTTTTTTTTTAATATTATCAAAATAGGCTGGGAAGATGTCTCAGTGGTAGAGTGCTTGCCTTGCATGCATGAGGCCCTGAGTTTGATTCCTCAGCACCACATAAGGAGAAAAAGCTGGAAGTGGCTGTGTGGCTCAAGCAGTATAGCGCTAGCCTTGAGCTGAAGAACTCAGGGTCAGCGCCGAGGCCCAAAGTTCAGGCTCCACAACTGACAAAAAAGAAAAAAATAAGTAATAATAATCAAAATAATAGGCAGCTTCTCCAGAACTGCTAATTAATTAGTTCCTTTTTAACTCTTAATATCATTATAAGCTAATGGAATTAAGTATTTCATGCTTAATTCCTTTCTTTTTTTTGTCATTTTTAATTGGAGATAACAGTCTCATGGACTTTCCTGCCTGGGCTGGCTCTGAACAGAGATCCTCAGATATCAGCCTCCTGAGTAACTAGGATTACAGGCGTGAGCCACTAGTGCCCAGCCTTAATTCCTTTCTTATTCTTGACACTCAGCTTATTTGATCTTACTTCAGGTTGACTTTTGAGTTGTTTGGCCTGCAAATTTTACTTACTTCTTTACTATCTAATATAATGTTTTAGACTCAAAAATTTCCCACTCCATATTGAGAAGCAGTCATTTCTTAGGGAATTCTTATTCCTTTTGTAAAGAAATAGCCACTGAATTTCAAAATCTGGAGTAATGGTTACTATGTGTCAGTCACTGGACTTAGCTTTTTTAATGATGCAAAGGTATAACAAACTCCAAAAATTGATAAGCCGATAGCATATACTCAAAAAGAAATGAAAATCAAGACAGACCAAACAAAAGAAATAATAAGCTCTAAGCAAAATAATCAATTTGGAATTTACTTGATCAGATCCACTTTGTTCTAAATGGTACTGTTTAGAGAGAAATAAAAGAAAGATCTGATTCATAATGATACAATTACAGGAGTCCAAGTACTATTCCTAAGTATACTTTGACCAGAAGAATCGAATCAATCTCCAAGTGTATACACATCCTAGTTAATGTCTATTCACTAATATTTTACTTCCAACTAGCAAGTACTTTCAAGGCAGCTGATCTTTTTCCTTTCTTGTTAGTCTTTTTCTTTCCCCATTTTCTGCCAGCATTCCTCAACTGCTTTACCTTCTACCTTCCAAACCTTCTGTAAAACCCAGAAACCCATTATACCATCAAGAAAAGGATAGAAAAGACAAAAATAAACTGCTTCTTGTGTCTTTTTTATTCCTTTAAACATGTGACATTTTTTAATCTTAAAAATACAATAAATGTTAAGCTATTTGTAAATGTTCCATACCGTATGAAGGTCATAAAAGTAAAGCAACATAATGGAAAATAATAAAATAGCCTACCTTTCAGCACTAAATGCAGACTCTGTGTCAATGTACACAACAGCTCCTTCTAAACCTCCCATGTTGGTGGGTAATGTGGCCAGTACACTCATCATTATGCAAAACTGGGTTTTTCCGCAACCTGGTGGACCTGTAATCTAATTTTTAAAAATTATATAAACACAGTAAGCCAGACAAAGAAAATCCTTTTAGGAACTTGCTGCAAAAAATAGTCCCAACTAGCCTCAGAAAAGAATTCAGCCCTGCTACCCTAACACATCCATTGTATGTAATAAATTAACTTTCTCCCTAAGCATCTAGTTTGGTATTAGTTATGTTCTATCCTTGGAAGGAATTGGCAATGTCTATGTTTTGTAATTCAGATGAAAAACTACAATTAAGACAGGCTAGAGTACTCATATATTCATTTTTTAACTATAGGGATTCCTTGGGAGGAATTGTTATTCTTGTAGAATGAATTAGCTCTGATCAGGGAAGATAGTTATAAATCACAGCTACTTCGTGTTCTTTATCATTCTGCACAAGGCCATTTCCCTAGGTGATTCTCCATCATGTTGTGAACGAAGCTGGGAGGTGAGGGGTCAGCAAGATGCCAGTGCCAGTTGTATGAGCCTTCTGCTCATACAACTTATGAAGTACTCAGCCTCTGGGGTTTTGTTAAAGTAAAATGGTATATACTAATGGACTAAGATGAGCTATTTTTTGTGTTGAACAATGTTTTATTTTAATCTTTTTACTGTTATTATAAAGGTGATGTACAAATGGGTTACCATTACAGAATACAGTTCTTTTTGGACAATGTCATCCCTAAGGAGTGTTTTTATAAAAATTAGCAAAATTGATACCATCCTAACATACTTTCTTGTATATCTAACATCATCTTCTATGTTACTTCTATATTGCTTAAGGATAATGCAATAATGCAATGGAAAAGCTGAAAGAATGTTACCAGAATATCCATCTATACTCTACAAAGATCATTTTTACTATATTTTAGACTATATCATGCTACCCTTTGCTAATCTATCCATTCATCAAAGGATCTATCTTAGGTTGTTGTTTTTAATGCATGTCAATTACAACAATGAGCTTTTCCCCAAAAGTTCATCATTCAGACCATGATCTCAAGTTTAATATGTATTATTTTCTTCCCTGTTAGGTAAATTTGTCATTAAATGAGCTATACAAATGTTTTCTGCCACTTGATATATTCCAACACATACATATACACAGTCTATAATTTGGTTTTTATTTACTTTGTGATGCTGTGGATTGAGCCTAGGGTTCTATGAATGCTTAGACAGTTTTCTAACTCTAGGCAGGTACATGCCACTCACATGCAAACCAAACTCCTATTATATCAAAACAGTACTAATGCAGGAAATTCTCTCATATACATTGCTTTATATTCAGGAAGTCTTTTCTTTGGGGAAATGTATCTTCTCTGGCAATACCTTTACCTCAGTGGCACACACATATACACATACAAAAAGCAGTTGTTAGCCTGGCAATGGTGGCTCATGCCTATAATCCTAGCTACTCAGAAAGCTGAGATCTGAGGATCACAGTTCGAAGTCAGACTTGTCAGGAAAGTCCATGAAACTCTTATCTCAAATAAACTACTCAGAAAAAGCTGAAAGTAGAGTTGTAGCTCAAGTGGTAGAGTGCTAGTCTTCAGCAAAATAAAAAAAAAAAAAAAAAAAAAGCCCTCAGAGACAGAGCCCAGGCCCCGAATCTAAACCCCAGGACTGGCACAACACAGAAGGAAAGGAGGAAGGAAGGAAGGGAGGGAGGGAGGGAGGGAGGGAAGGAGGGAGGGAAGGAGGGAGGGAAGGAGGGAGGGAGGGAGGGAGGGAGAAGAAAAAAAGAAAAATCCAATTTATCATTAATTCTAGCAAAATTTTTCCAGATATTGAATTTGTATCACATGACTGCAAAGTGTCATGTGATACAAAGTTCAACATTTAGAAATATTTTAACATTCTTACATAGTAAATCTAATCAAGTCTGCCTTCCTGTCCCAAATGTTTGTTAATTCCTACTGTCATTAACTAGTATTTTGAGGAACAATATTAAAAAGTTATATTATCAATAATAATGAATAAATCTGCATAGACCAAATTATATTCTTTATAATTTCAGTTTGCAATTCTATTGTGGTTGATTTTTACCTCATTAGTCATAGAAGAACCAGCTTCTCTCACATTTACAAGTATGTATTTACTTATATTTTTATAACTACTATAGTCATCAATCTACAGTTTCTTTGCAGGAATCTTTTATGCCACTTGCCAGTTTTGTGAGATAGTTTAGTTAAATCCATAAATCTTAACTAGATAACTATAAACTTGTAATTCACACCAATCTATAAAAAATAAAGATACAAGTCAAGTTCCTCCACCAACCCTCTCTCTTCACTTCCTAATACTTATATGGACCTTTTATAATCATCAAAAACAAGGCCCACCTTAATCATTGCATATTAGAAAAAGGTAAAGTTCAAGTTGAAAGAGGACCTTGAAAATGGACAAACACTTCAGATTCTGAGTAACAGAACAGAGAACTGACCTATAAATACAATCTATACAACAAGTTTTGGACATGTTCTCAGATTTTAAAAGTTTAAAACTGTGAGATGCTTTGTAATTTTTTTAGTGGTAAGATCAAACAGGTCAGCATTTTAATTAGTATGATGTTTATGAAAATATTCAGCAAAGTATCATAAAATGTAAAGTAGCATAAAAATGTAAAGTTTTGATTTATTATTACATCTTTAAAGAAACATGCTTCAAACTCTGAAAAGTTAGCCAAATACAAATGCCACTTGGGGAAAACTGAACATTATATGCATAATATTAAGAAATATCTGAACTTGTTTGGGATTTTTGTTTGTATTACAGTCTGAATAATAACACTTAAACTATAATAACTAATTTCTAATTCCTTAGGCCTCTTCATATAGTCTTTCCTCTCTTTCAACTTCATAAATTTACAACACATGCAATATTATGGATTGCCTGGCATTAAATTTCATTATTTTTTTCAGGTTTACTTAGTGGATGAAAACATTTCAACATTAATCATTTCTAGTTTCAGACAGTTTAGCCCTGAATTCTAGCACTCAAACCACAAAATTTCAAGCTGTATTCAGTTCCCAGTTTCAGTCCCAACAGTGGTTAGAAAAAGAAAATGTGCCAAACCAGAACAGTCTAAGTTATTTGCTTTTTGAAAACTCAGAGTGAATGTAACATTCACACACAGAAAACACCAGTAAAATACAATTAGCTTTGTGTAGTTTGAGCCAATATTTTAACACTCCCACATGAGAAATACAAGAAAGAGAGAAAGAAAGAAAGAGAGAGAGAAAGAAAGAGAGAGAGAAAGAAAGGGAGAGAGGAAGGAAGGAAGGAAGGAAGGAAGAAAGAAAGAAAGAAAGAAAGAAAGAAAGAAAGAAGGAAAGGAAAGGAAGGAAAAAAGGAAGGAAGGAAGGAAAGAAGGAAGAAAAAGAACTGAAAGACATATTAAAAAAAAAGAAAATAGGTAGGAAAAAGTCACTTAATTATCATCAAGGATTAATGAGATATCAGCAAAAAATAGGGGCTAGTTTGAAAAGGAAAAATTATATTCCCAAGGAAAGAAAGGCTAATTAAGCAAAAGAAAAAAAATAAAGCCTACTCACTTTAATCTTATATTAGATTACATGGATAAAATAAATGTGAAATTTGGACCTATTGACCTAAAATCTTACCAAGTTAATGCTCAGTACATTCAGGAGAGGGCCAATAGAAAAGGACAAACTTTCAAGCCAATGTTTAGCAAAAGAACACTTAAGAACTGTCCAGCTTGTGTCTGAGACAAGCTTGTAAAAACTACACATTTTTAAATGACCCCCAGTACTGATTACTCAACAGTTCTGCAGAAATATAATCAGGTCTTCAGACCTGCAGAATTCAGTGTTTAAAATAACTAACTCTCCAAACCCTAAAACCAAAAGAAAAAAAATCTTAGAAAGGCCAGGTTGCATTTCATGTCATGAAAAAAAAGATAGCTTGATCTCAAATTACAACAGCATGTGGAAGAGATTTTATGTTGGATTCTCTCCACCACTCCTTCTTATTTCAATTGATAGCCACCAATTTCTAAGTGACAGGAAATAGAGAATGAGAGCAAAAATAAAGCAAGATTACATAGACATGACAAGTTGCACAGTGAAACAAAAATCGAACTATCAAGGGAGATAATCATTCATTTGAAAGCATTCATTCAAAACAAATAGCATTTACTAAACACCATATGAAAAGCATTAGGAAACTATTAAGAAGTATGTTTATTTCTTGAATAAGGGGTGAATGCAGAATTGGAAAAAAAGATCCAATCAACCATATGTATTAAAATCCTTGTAGATTTTTAGGCACATTCTAGCTACCACAAATGAGGGAAACCATGCAACCTATGTATGTTTCTTTGGGTCTGGCTTACTTCATTTAATATAATTTTTTCTGTCTTTCCATTTCTTTATGAATGGTACAAGATCATTCATTCTAATGGATGAGTAGAATTCCATTGTGTGTGTGTGTGTGTGTGTGTGTGTGTGTGTGTGTGTGTGTGTGTGTGTGTGTGTGTGTATCACATTTTCCATTAGTCCACTGAGGAGCATCTGGGTTGATTCCATATCTTCGCTATGGTAAACAATTCTGCAAAGGACATGGTTTTGCTGGTAACTTTAGGATGGCCTTATCTATGACAAGTTGGATAAATGTCCATAAGTGGAATTGCTGAGTCATAGAGAAGCTCTATGTTTACCCTTTTGAGGAACCTCCATACTGCTTTCCAGAGTGGTTGAACAATTTTACATTCCTACCAATAGTGTAGTAGTGTTCCCTTTTGGCCACATCCCCCACTAGCATCTGTTATTGTTAGTTTTCCTGATAATGGCCATTCTAACTGGGATGAGGTGAAATCTCATTGTTGTTTTAATTTGCATTTCTTTTTTTCCTTTGCCAGTCTTAGGGCTTGTGAACTCAGGGCCTGAGTGCTATCCCTGAGCTTTTTTTCCTCTAGTTTAGCACTCTACCTCTTGTGCCACAGCACCACTTCTGGCTTTTTCTGTGTATGTGGCACTGAGGGACCAAATCCA